GCGCCGTCGTCGGCGCAAAACGTTCACCGGGAAAAATCATGCGCGTGTCCCGTTGTTTCTCGACGGCGTTCCGCGGCGTCTCGGCGCGTCGCGTCAATATACATATATAGTATATATACATATATATATATATATACATATGTACATATATGTATATATACTATATATACACATATAAGCGCGACTGATGTCTATAAAAAGACCATAGCATTTGTTTTTAAACTGTATTCTTACTACGCTTCGGCCGTATGTCATTAGCTGTAAATTCTTTTGGCTGAAAACTCGAATCGACCCTTAGCTCAAAATGCCTTCTCTTTTCCGTCTCACAAAACACGGTGGTGGCAGCGGCTGGGGGGGGGGGGGGGGGGCGGGGGGGGGCATCGCGATTCGAGCCGGCACACCGCCCCGACCCCCGACGCGAGGACAATAACCCGCCGTGGAATTCGATCGCGTATATACGCGCGACGAGAGCGAAGCGGCAAGCTCTTCGCCGAGACTTGGACGACTTTCCAGGGATGGGAAAGGGGAAGAAAGGAACCGCAAGCACGTTATGGGGAAACGCCGGCACTGCTCACGGAATAAATCTCTCGGGGAAAATACGTGACGAGGCCGCTCCCCGGAATGGAGCGATACAAGATGACTCCGGCACGGTCCGATTTCGCGAAGACACACTCGCATTGTCGCGCTCCGTTTCCTTCGCCTTTGTGGCTCTTTACCTTCACGAAGCTGATGCTCGTGGTGGTGCCTTCGATGTCGACGAGTACCGTCTTCGCGAGTGAGATCTCGTCCTGATCCTGACTGCGCTTTTCCCCGGCCATTTTCACGAACCGACTCGCCCACGACCGTAGGATTAATAGCGGTTATATCTATATGTATGCTCCCCCTCGGTTAGGTTGGCGCTCACGCTGTATATGTCGGCGACGACGCGTTCTTGTTGGGAGCCGGCGAACGAATTCGCTGTTGGCCGTGCGCCAATCTACGCTGCCGGTATATGCGTGCGAACTCGCGAGTCCCCCTCTGCTCGTGGCCCGCGCCCTGCTGCCTGCTGTAGTCTGTACCCGGTAACCATGTCCGTATCAAGACATCTCGGGTGCCCCAACTTTCACTCGACCCGCCGATTTAACGTCTCGTGAAATAGAAAGCCTAAACCATTTAATGGTCCGTTTTCCGTTTCTGCATTAGACTGCACTAGAATTCACTTTCTTGCTCTCGATAAATATCAGACTTACATTCCTACCTCACTTTAAGTTCTAAAAGTGTACACTAGTTCAGTTACAGAAAACAGACCTTAAGAGTCGTCTATGAAGAATACATCTCTCTTGAAACTTTTATTAGACAATTTTTTAGACAGATATTTTTCACTTGATTTATGAATTTTAATAAAACGGACGAGTGCGTCATTACATTTCGATGCTCCTAATTAACTAAACGTCGATTAACATTTCCTTATTAATTTCTACATCGCAGCAATTAATTGTTTTTATTTTTAACAAAAATTATATCAGTGCGATTGCAGTTGATAGGAGCAAAAGGTAAAGAATAGAATTTTCGAGGAAGAAGCACCGGGTTTCGCGACGAGTCGCGACGACTCTGCATCGAATACAAACCGCGGCTCGTATCAGCGTGTAGATACTTGCGATCGCATGTCAGTATGAGTGCGCGCCCGCGAATCGCTCGTTCCACCTTGAGTTTTCGTCCAATGAACTGCCTCGGTCGTCGCGAATCGAGATGTGCGCTTGTGTTGCGCCCTACATGCAACCCTCTTGCCTACGCGAAAATTTCGCGACGGTGGACCTAGTGGAAAATCGTCCACCTTGGCGAGCTTCCTCGATGGATCGGCATGAAAAGTCACGTCGTGCTTGTCCCCGTTCGCGACAGAGGAACGATCGGTTTGATTTGGTGAATCGTTCGAATATTGACTCGTTGACGAACCACTCGCCGATATCCCTCCGCGAGAAAGTAGTCCCGTCGCGTGTTTTTTTTTTCACGTTGACTTTCGACAAACGACACGTGACTCGACACGAACCTTGAGTATTTCTTTCGAAATTCACGCGCATCGTGCTGCAATATCAATTATTTCGCGATTCTGAGATGGGTATTTCATCGTTGCGATTGAAAATCTGTCTTGATTGTACGGTCGTCCATGGACCTGCACGGGCAACCACCTGATTTTTACATTGATGCGTCCATTTAAATTTCTGCGTGACGCGCGCACGGGTAGCCATTTAAATTTGAATGAAGATGATCGTGTTGCTTTCTCATTTCGACGACGTTGCGTGATGCAAACGTACGAATGTTTGCACGATATATCCAAAGCTGAGCATGTGTATTTTAATATTTTTATTTAAAATACAGTTTTTGCAATACAAGTACTTTGTATTTTATATTTCAGCGGAGCACGTGAAAATATTGCGTATTTAAAATCGAAAGATTAAAGTTTTGTTTTTTTTTTATAATTCAAATAATAAAATTAATTATCAGTCTTAATATTTTAATTACAAAGTACAAAATACCTTTATATACTTTCATGAAATACAAAATATTTTCATGTGCTCCGCTGAGATACAAAATACAATTGTCTTACACATACTATTTTTCGAATAAAAGTATTTCAAATACATGTCCAGCCTACTATTATGTACTTTTTTATTTTTCGGGAGATTATGCTGTTAATATTGGTATATTTCAAATACACATAATTATATATAATATAAGTTAGATAATAATTGTGAACTTTAAAGCCACAGTAGTGTAAGTCACTTAATTATGATTTCGAGAAACGAAAGGCTTTTTCCAACATATTTACTTCAGTAGACTACACCAATGACCTCAAGTTGATGAGTTTAAAAAAGTGACTTACACCACTATCGCTTTTTATCTCTTCAATTAAAGATTGTATTGTTTTTTTAATGTTTATTAAATAATGATTTACAATAGTGATTATTTTACGTATATGAAGTTTAACATTAATGTTATCGATAACATTATGCATAAATGACACAATCGATCCTATATTATATCCACCTTAAGAGTATAATTAATAAAATCTATTTATTTGTAAGTACAATAATAAGCATTATAATGAAAACGTAATCTAAATACAAATTAAAAATAAACGTAAAGATAATATTGAACATATAAAAATATTACTAATCATCACACTACGATAAATCGTATATTACATGTAAATATACATATAAACAGAATTATTAACATAATTTAGGTCCTTTTTCTTTAACTCTTAACAGTCGATATCATTACATTTTACGTTATTTTACTTTATCGTTGCACAGTTCGACAAAAATCGATTTTTTTTCCTTCCATGAAAAATTCAGAGATTCTGAAAATAGATGTAAAAAAAATATACCCGTGTCTCGACATTGACTTACTGCAACACTGTTACAACCTAAACAAAGTATATTAAACAAAGCGACTTGAACAAGCAGCAATAAGAATTCAGCTCATTTCTCGATCTTGCTCAGTTCGAACAGTCGCGACCGCGGATTTAGTAGATGAAATTCTAAACTGTATACTTAAAACAAAATTGAAAAAATGAAGAAAATATTAAAATAAACAAAAATGCTGTGTCTCAATCGAAATAATTTTTATGTATGTGGTTTATTTGCACTTGCAAGCAATATGTGAAATATTACAAAAAATATTGCGGTGGGATTTGAAGTCTATTTTCTTGTGACGTATATACCGAATTTGTGATACGTGCCAAAAGTTGTGTGCGCTTATTGTTATCATTTGCTGAAATGGCAAAATAAATCTCATAAAATTAAATCATTTTTTTTTATTCGGACTCATCGCATAATTTCACATGAAAAAACGTCAATTTATTAAAAAAAAATTATATGATTTAGAATAATTGTAAAAGGCCATTATGAAACAAATACGATAAATGGCTGTATAAAAAACGTTAACCACTTGATCTGATAAAACGCCGAAACACGGGTATATTTTTTTACACCTATTTTCAGAACCTTTTTGAATTTTTCGTGGGAAGGAACCTGTGTTGTATTGTGTTATATGTGCAGCAATGTAACAACACTGATATTATCATTAAGAGTTATAGAATAAGAGCTATTTGTTTGGTGCAGCTGCATGCGATTAAGAATTATGTAAATTATGCATATAGATTAAAAATCGGTATCAATATATCAATAACATCGATACATTATTTTATATAATCTATAATATTACTTGGAATCTAATTTACTCAATTTTTCGCTGAAATGTTTGTCCAGATGAATTCTAATTTGTTGCGTATTGTTGCATTTAATTTTGCGTTCTGGATGGATTGCGTTCTCGGGTTTGTGCATCTTTTTGCGATGAATTAAGTGGCTAGCATAATTAGCGAATGATTCGTTGCAATCTCTGCACTGGTAAACGTTCATGTATTTATGGTGATGTAAGTTCCTAGCATCCCTTTGTTTGTCAGAGTACTTGCATGCCAACAGCTTCTTACTATTGTGTAATGAAACGTGATGATCAAGATCTTTTTTATCTGTGAATTTTTTACCACACTGCTGACATTTATTGTCGTTGTGCTCTTTCTGAATATGCTTTATTAGCAATCGTTTGGCTTTGCATACAATTTTGCATATATCACACTGAAATATAAGAGGTATAATTTTGCCTTCGTGCACTTTTTCCTTGTGCGACTTGAGCGACATTTGATGTTTGAATTTTTCTTGACACTCGTTACATTCGTACAATGGTTTTTGATTAATTATTAGGGGATCTTGACGGTCAAGCTTATGAATTCCAATCATGTGATTCTTTAACATACGGAAGGTCGGCAAATCATCGTTGCACACAGGACACGTAAATATTCGCGGAAGTGATATGTTCTTGTCTTTCTTCCAGTGTTTCTCTAGATGTTCATTCCAATTCTGCTTCTTAAGGAACGATTTGCCACATATATCGCAAATGTGGCGATTGGAGAAATGAGACTTCTTGTGGAATTTTAATGCATGTATAGTCCTACATCGCAGGCCGCATACTTCACATTGATAAGGCATCTCACCAGTATGTTTTCGATGATGTTCCTTCAATCGCACCTTCAGCTGAAATGACTTACCGCATATTTCGCAAATATGTGGTCTAAATCCCTTATGCACAAAGAGATAATGTTCGTACAAAGAATTTTCCCCACTGAAATCCTTACCGCACGTGCTGCAGATAAACTCGTCCATATTCTCATTATGTCGCATCTTGTGGAACTCGAGTCTTTCCTGACGCATAAAGTGTTTATTGCACTTTGCACAGTAATATTGTCGCTGCGAAATTCCTTTTATTTTACAGGAAGCGCACATTACTTCATCGTTAATAGCGTTAGGATCTACACCTTTTATCAATTTTCTGCAGACTTTGCATTTTTGTTTCAGTTTTTTAATAATCTTCAGTTTGTTATCCACATCTGTTTTAATATTTAGCACTGTTTCGTTACCAGAGAGTTTGCACGTTTTCTGATGCGCAATTAAATATGGTTTTTTCATGAATACTTTTTTACATTTCAAGCAAAGGTACCGTATTGCGGTTTTGTGCATGTGAAGGTAGTGATCCCACAACAAGTTTTCATTTTTAGTTTCTTTATCGCATTTTGTACAAACGTATTTATCTATTTTGTTTAATTTGTGTCTCTCCATGTGAAACTCATATTTTTCTTGTAAAATATAACGAGCTCCACACAAATTGCATTCTTGTTTTACATTATTTTTTGAAATGTTGATGTCATTTGTATCATTTTCGTTGACACAGTCTTCTTCCATTTTCGTTATGACCGTTATGTTGTCAATTTCTTTATCATCAGTGATGTATTCCACGTTATCATTTTCTGGCTGGAATGTCATCAAGCCAGTTATATTTGACCTATCATAATTACTATTTGAGTCATTTTGTTCTTTTACATTTAATTTTATTTGAATTATTTCTGATTTACCAAGATTATTGTCAAGATATTTCTTTTCCATCACGTCTCCTGTACTAGATTCCTCTTCATTTTTCATTTCTTCATTAAAACATTCCACATCATTGTCCGGTTGAAATGTTATTAAGTCAGTTACATTTAATTTACTGTAATCACTGTCTAATTCATTAGAATTTTGTTCCATTGTATCTAATTTTGCTTCTAATTTTTGCATCTTAGTAGGATTAAATGTTTTTGTAGAAGTACTTTGTTGAATCTTCCTCTTTATACCTGTTTTCAGTTCATATGATACATCAATTTTTTGTGAGCTATCATGTTTCCTCTTGATATCACATTTATTATCATTTGTTGTATTCTCATTGATAATATCACAGTTCAATGATAATTCATATAATTTATCTTGTGCCCTCGATTTCCGTGTACAGACATTAAACTCTTCTGTATCATCAGATATTTGACTATTTTCTTGGGATTGTTCTATTTGATTCACAAGAGCCAATGTAACTTGAAATGTATGACTACTATCTGAAGGATTGTTTATTAAGATTATTAAATCTTTATTACAATTCGGACAGGGATATATCACATCACTGTGTAACTTAGAAATCAGTACATCTTCCAATTTCTCATTTTTATTGGCTTCAAAGAAAGGGACAGTTCTTGTCTCACTTTCCTTCGAGTGTGCTAATATATTTTGAATAAAATCATAATGATTGATAACTTTATCATAACAGTCTAAACATATATATTTGAAATGATCATCTTGTGAAACCTGTAAAAAATTGAACATACAGTAATATTTTATGGTAAATTACTTAAAACTTATTTAATAGTTAATTAATTAGCATACCTTAATTGGTAAAGTCTCATTTATTATTTGTGCCAAATTAGTTACTTCATCAAAGATATGTTTCAAATGTTCAAACTCAAATTTAATACCACATAGACGGCATGTATCACATTCCATTTTAGATATTTCTATAAATTATATGAAGATTTCTTAATGTTTTCAAAAATAATTTTATATTTTTGAAAGATACAACATTCTCATATTGATATCAATAAACTTTTTTCGAGAACGTGACCTAGTAAAAAAGAGAAAAATTATATATAGATACTAAGGCACAAAAATTTTAAAAATTAATAAATATGAAAGAAAGGAGTACAAGCCAAGTTGGATGTTTTTGCTCTATATTAATAAACATACAAACTGTACAAGTAAATATAAATAGTTTTAGTGGCTATAATATCAAAAACAATAATAATAAAGGGCATTGAACACAGTCGCACAATTTCAGTGACAAATAATTTTATAATTTAATATACATATGTATAGACGTTTCGATTAGGCCATCTTCAGTAAAGATACAGTATAGATACTATACAATAACAAACGTTTTAACCTCTATTTTGTATTCTCAATGTTTAAATTTACAGTTAAATTAATATGGTACATTTTGATAAAAATGGAAATAACAGTACTGTTATTTCCATTTTTAACAATATGTACAGCATTTATTAATTTAACTGTAAATTTAAACATTGAAAATAACAGATAGAAGTCGAGACGTTTGTTATTGCATGTATAGTTTATATATTTCTTAATTAAAGCAAAAAAACACCCAGCTTGGCTCACACCCCTTTCTTTTAAATTTATTAATTTTGTAAATCTTGATAATTATAACTACACAAAAAGGAATATATTTGGACATTAAAGAGAAAGCAAAGACGCCGAGTGCAAAAAGTGCAAGCAACGCGAAGAAACATAATTTTTGATAAAACGATTTATTACCAATGTATATTAAGGTTTGTTCGTGTCGCATGCTCTAACATGTTCCAATATGCTCCTACCATAGCTCTTACTCCAACGCGCTTAATAGAGTGAGTAGGAGCTATGGTAGGAGCATGTTGGAATACGTTGGAGCTTGCGACGCAAACAAACCTTTAACTTCAATCATGGTTCAACTAATACTTCATCTTTTTCTAATTCTAAAAACTAGAAAAAAATAAAGAATTATTTGAACCGAGATTGAAATTAACATATATTGGTAGAAACGGACATAATATCAAATTGAACCAAATATATCATACCTATATTATAACTCATTAGTTTTAAAGCATACCGTTTTAAAGTATACCGTTTTAAGAATATTACAGATTCCACATAAAATATTCTTACAAATAAAATTGTATTTTGAATTACTATTTTCTCAAATGCACTATTCTTTTCTTTAAAATGCTGAAATGTTCAATGATCATATAGGTTAAGAACCTCTTTCACCAACTACTTAAATTAATCGACAATGGTCGCGTTCAGCAGATTCAATTGTTGGGCTGCGTTCGGAAATATCACCCGGGTGCTTCGTGATCATCTTATCCTTATTTAACATTGGGTGAACAACAAGGATAAAATGATACACGGAGGTACTCGGGTGATATTTCCGAACGCAGCCTGAGGAGCGGATTCGCGAGCGCTCGCTGCTATTGGATGATTTAAAAGAATACATCAATAGCAGCGAGCGATCACGGATCCGCTCCGCAACAGTTGAGTCTGTTGAAGCGGACAATGGTCGAACCGCTCAGTGAGTAAATTGTATTCCGAAACTCATTAAAAAAAGTGTTGCAATTTTATAGTTTTTATATCTATAATTTGTGGATATAGCCGGATTCAAGCTCAATATCAATTTTCGATTTAGATGATGAGACTTGCACCACATCAATTTTTCGACTTTATCACCAGTGTAACTAATGCGTTGTCTACAATATGTGAAATAAGCTTGTTATCCCGAATTTACAATAGAGTTTTAAGCCTTAAGCCATAAGAAATGGGCGACTCACAGTCGATTATTCCCCTCGGATTCAACTATAATTGGTCAGTTTCTTACGGCTTAAGTCTTAAAACACCTATTGTAGATCCGGACTTAAGAAGTAAGAGTAAGGCCCAGTTCCACAACTCACGGTTAACCGAGGTTGAACTTATTCATTGTCCCTTTCCAATTTTAGAATTGGAAAGAGATGAGAAACAAGTTGAACCTCGGTTAAAAGTTAACCGTGAGTTGTGGAACTGGGCCTAAGAAATTGATCAATCACAGTCAATTATTCTTTTCACAATCGACTGTGATTGGTTAATTTCTTACTCCTACTTCTTAAATCAAGCTTACTTCGCATATTGTAGACGATGCATTATATGATACGTAGTTCGCGTTCTATAATGCGAGGTCTACAATAGAAGTTGTAACGGTCGTAGGGTCTTCAGTTGTAGAAAATTGACCAATCACAGTCGAATATGAAAAGAATAATCAACTGTGATTGGTCAATCTTCTACATCTTAAGACTCTACGACCGTTACGACTTTTATTGTAGACCCCGCATTAAATAGATATTGGTGTCGCTAGCGTACGAGAGCTTTCCAAGCATCACGCGAAAAAGGTCAGGACGGCCGCTCTCAGGTTTTCGTATTTGTATTCGTATTAAGATGTCTTTTCATGCTGACAAGACGCTCGACGCATTTTTAGCGTCAAAACAGATTACGTGATAAGTCCGGATCTACAATAGGTGTTTTAAGCCATAAACCGTAAGAAATTGACCAATTATAATCGAATTCGAAGGGAATAATCGACTGTGATTCGCTCATTTCTTATGGCTTAAGACCCTATTGCAGATTCGGGGTAAAGGGTGCGGTCGAGTTGCCGCTACGAATGTTTTGAAGCATTTGATTAACCAATCAGAAGAAAGAATATCACTCATTGATCAATGAAAAAATGCTTCGAAGCATTCGTAATGGCAACTCGACCGCACCTAAAAATTGATGAATATCAAGTGTCGATTTCGATCATGTACCTACTTTGACGCTAAAAATGAGCTTTTGCATGAAAAAACATCTTTATCCTCTGTTGCGGGATTCTCTAAAGGCCATGCTTAGAACATATACTACTGGAAGAGGAATAGAGCGCTGAACGTGAAGCCAACATCTGTGCGAGAGAGAAAGGTAGAGAGGTCCTAATTCGCAATGCGCATGCGCAGCACCATGCAGTACCGTCGTCTTAAGCTGGTTCTACATTAGTCGCATCGCAGCGTATTAGTCGTATCAATCGTAAAATAACAAATGCGATTGGTCAATTGGTGACAGTGGCCCTCAGAGCGGTATTCATAATCGATTCTAAAGCTGGAAACACAATGGGTACATTGGGTGCATTCAGTACTACAATCGCTCACTGAGCGTTCAGTGAAAAGCACAATGAAAAACATAGGCAATAGGAACAGGAAATAACAAATTTCAATCTATCAGAAACCATGTATACTAAAATGGATGCTTTCTGATAAGTTGAAATCTCTTATTCCTATTGCCCTGTTCCTATTGCCTGTGCTTTTCAATGGCTGCGTTCAGCAGAGAAAGCAGCTTTGCAACTGTGTAAAATTCTTCAATATGATTGGTTTATACGTTTAAATCTGTAAGGAACCAAAAGCAAGAACCAGTCGTATTAAAGAATTTTACAACAGTTGCAAAGTTGCTTTCTCTGCTGAACGCAGCCATTGTGTTTTACCCCGGATCTACAATAAGGTTTTAAGTCTTAAGCCATAAGAAATGGACGAATCACAGTCGATTATTCCCCTCGGATTCGACTGTAATTGGTAAATTTCTTACGGCTTAAGGGTTAAAACGCCTATTGTAGATCCGGACTAAGGCTTAATACTTAAGACCGTCTTAAGTACAGTCCTATATATAAAGAGAAGCGATATTGATGTCCGAGTTTCTGATTGGCAGTCTGATATACATTCTGATTGGGTATCCCCTCCTAAGTGAAGCAGCCATATTGTGACCGCAGCTGTTTACACAGCAGACACACGTGGACGTCGAGTTATTTGCATTATTTAATCCGTTATATAAGCCTTAAGTAATTGGTCAATTTTTTACTGCTTAAGGTTTAAAATATCTATTGTAGATCTAAAGTAATGAAATACAGAGCTTACTCCGTTAACGGAATCAATGGAATACAATGTTAGTGGTTGGAGTATGTTTATGTTTACGACACTGGAGCGGTCGAAACATGACGGCGTAGGGAGTAATGGTAGGTATTTAGGTAACCGATCTGGTGGAGGTTCGATGTCGCTTCTTTTTATATATAGAGGTTTCTTTGTGTCGCATGCTCCAACATGTTCCAATATGCTCCTACCATAACTCTTACTCATTCTATTAAACGTGTTGGAGTGAGTAAGAGCTATAGTAGGAGCATGTTGGAGCATGTTAAAGCTTGCGACGCGAACAAACCTTAGGACTCTAGTCTTAAGATGTCACGAACCAATCAGAGGACTATGGGCGGTATTCATAGTCAGATCTTATATTCAAGACCGTCTTAAGTACAGTCTTAAGATGTCATAAACTAATCAGAGGGTCGCATTAGCGTCTTAATGCGGGGTCTACAATAGAAGTCGTAGCGGTCGTAGAGTCTTAAGTCATAGAAAATTGACCAATCATAGGCCGGTATTCATAGTCAGTTCTTATATTCAAGATCGTCTCAAGTTCAGCCTTGAGGTGTTATGAACCAATAAGAGAGCTGCATTAGCGTATTAAGACATTACTTAAGACGGTCTTGAAATAAGAACCGACTATGAATACCGGCCATAGTCGATTATTCTTTTCATATTCGATTGTGATTGGTTAATTTTCTACGACTTAAGACTCTACGACCGCTACGATTTCTATTGTAGACCCCGCATAAGACATTACTTAAGACGGTCTTGAAATAAGAACCGATTATGAATACCGGCCTATATTAGCATCTTAAAACATTACTTAAGATGACCTTGAAATAAGAACGGTCTATGAATACCGACCTCAGAATTAGTTATGGAACCTACAGCTCTTAAGCCAGAATCAGACTATGCATTGAAAATTAAGATTGAAGATTGAAAGATTGAAGTTTGACCAATCAAAGCAATAGGAGATAAAAATCCTTTGTCCTCATT